CAATAAATTTTGATTGGGTGTTAGATTATGTAGGTTTCGATCAGGGTCGACGTGGTCATTCATCTTTTAGGTTTAAATAGTAATTCTTTATATCTTGTATAGTGTGGTGAGTTCTAGTACTGATATCTATAGTAGTGGGATGTTTGGACAAGTATACATGTATAGCTAATGCACATTGGTCAAACAGAGTGTAGTAACTAATAAACGTAATAAATTTGGTGTTGACTATGTACTGAGCTAGAATGAACTAAAGTACAACTAGGTATAAACTAACAAGATAAAATTACAAATTAAAAATAGCACCAGACTATCACTTGTAATTGCACTAAGGCTAATTAATATAAGTTGTTTACATGAACTAAAATATAAATAGATATAAATTGATAAGATAAAATTACAAATTAAAGAAGCAAAAGTATAATAAAAAAATAAAAATATGGCAATGATATGGTTGTAAGTAATATGATAGTAAGATGGTACACAAGATAATAAAAAAGTTGGAGTTGAATATACAAGCTTGAAAATTTGGCAACAATAGGTTAAGTATAAAATAAAATTGGGTAATAAAGTCTAAAATAAAATAGGGCAATAATAAAAAGTTTAAAATAAAACTGGGTATTAAAGTCTAAAATAAAATAGGGCAATAATAAAAAGTTTAAAATAAGATAGGACAATAAAGTATAAAATAAAATTGGGCAAGAAAGTATAAAATTGGGTAATAAAGTAAAAAATAAAATAGGGCAATAATAAAAAGTTTAAAATAAAACTGGGCAATAAGGTATAAAATAAAATTGGGCAATAATGGAAAGTTTAAAATAAAGTTGGGCAATAAAGAATATAATAAAATAGGGCAGTAATAGTTGAAAAAGACAATGCTATGGTTAGTTACAATTAAAATAAGACAAGGCAATGATGTGGTAAGTTGCAAATATTTGATGAAGTTGAGGCAATAAAATTATAATAAAAAATATAATAACAGAGAGAGATTCTGTAGATATTAAACACAATTAAGACTATGAGGTAGAATGGTCATTGAATACAAAAGTGACATTCAAAAGTAATTGGGGTATTAGAATTTTAAAGAACAAATATTATGGCAGTATATAGCTGTTACAGGTAAATCATAACACTAATCATGGACAGTGGGTATAATCTGCACTTTACTCTGATTCTGTTAACCCAGCCTCACTCAGGAATGTTTTTAAGTCATATTCCATAGAGATGAAGTATCTCTTCCCAGTGGGCTGTTTCCTAACTGCGATTTTTCCATCCCTCACAAAGCACTGATCCATTTTTTGGGCATGGCATAATTTTGTTAGCCAATAAAGGAGGTTTTGTCTTGTTTTAGTAAGGCACTCATTGATGCATACATCAGTTTTCATAGAAATGGATGTTTTTAGTAGATTGTTTCTTTGTAGGGTGGTTTTTGAATTTTAACAGCACTGTTTTTTTACCCGCTTGGTAGCCCATCAGTTAGCAATATTTTAGTTCATCACTACATATGCTTAGGCGAAGGTGGTCCTTGATAAGCTGTAGGGTGGTCTCCATGCAAGTCTCTTGGGTGACTGTAAGTGGAAGATGTTTGCTATTAACTATAACAGCATCAGAGAGCTGTTGCTGGCCATTATGGTCCTGGAAGTGGGCGACGACATTGGCAAGCTGTAGATCCACTCGTGATCTTTCTTCTATGATGGTAGTAAGCTGGGTGACTTGGTCTTTTAGTGTGTTGATGGTGTCCACAGACTGGGTGTGGGTGTTGCTTAGTTGTTCCAGAGTGTCTAGTTTATGTTCTAGACCAGTGATCTTGCTGAGGTACTGTATGTTGGAAGCTTTAAGCTCCTGCATTTTCTGAGTTAGCTTGGTGATTGTTTGGTTCTGGATCATAAGGAGTTTAGCTATTTCTGAGTCGGTAATCTTCTTGACATCAAATCCATGGAAGGAGTTATCTTGGACTGTGGTGGAAGCCATATTTGTTTTTGTCTATCGAGTGTTGTGGGGACGTAAGAGGGTGATGAGGGTTGTGCCCTGGCTGGCAGTATGAGAAATTTTCCTTGTACTATTACTGCTCTCACCTTCGATGTTAGGAGCCCTCGGCTAGTTACTGGATCTTCTTTTGTTGCCCTGACCCTTGGCCACTGATAATGGCTTCAGATGAATAGTAGGCGATGGGTGAATGTTGTGGAGCATCATTTCAGTGGCAGCGGGATAGGAGGTGCTAACACGAGCCCTATTAGTTGGTAATTTGCGTATTTCTGGGTGATTTCTGCAGTTGATTTATATCATTCTGGGTATACACACATGTTAGTGTTAAGTGGTCTCGATTAGGCCATCACAGGGCTGCTGGGAACCTCAGGTAGAAGTAAAAATAGAGGATAAGATTCTTGCTGCTCGCCACCGCCACCACTACAACAGAACACCACTCGTGACATACATAATGACTTATTTTCATTCTAGAGTATATGTCATGTTCCTATGTTATTAATATTCTTTACTATGTCATATTAGTTGAATTGTGATAGATAAATAAGCTGTAGAGTTGATATTAGTGTTATATTCTCCAACAATAAACTCGCCTCCCTCTCCCCTCTGCCCCATCTGCCATACACCAACAAGAGTCTTCAATAAAGGTAAGTGTGATGTTAAATGTTCATTTATACATTTTATTAGTGCTTTATATTTATTTGTCATTCTTTTCTGTATGTAAATCTATATTTAAGCTAGGGAAATGGCTAGGGAAGTGACTCCTGATAAGGACTTGGTACCTAGAGTCCTTATGGAAGGGGATTTCCCTTCCAAACAATAACCTCTCTTCCCTCTTCCCCTCCTCCCTGTCTTCCGTCCATCAACAACAGCCTCCAATAGAGTTAAGTGTCATACTGAATGTTAATTCTTTTGTGCATATAAATCTATCTTTAAGGTAAAAAAAGAAAAAATTTTAATACTTCTGGGTGCCTGGAATGGATTAATTGGATTTACATTATTTATGGGGAAAATGGTTTCTGTTTTCGCCCATCGCTCTGGAACGGATTAAATATGAAAACCATGGGGCCACTGTATTGTCATTTAAGGTCTGGAATGGATTAATTCTATTTACATTATTCTTTTTGGGAAAAACTACTTTGGTTGTCATCCATTTTGGTTGTTGAATCAACATCTGGAATGAATTAAATTTGACAACCAAGGTTCCACTGTACGTATTATTGTTAATATGGCAGCAATATAACCCTCACCTAATTTATTCAAATGAATTGTCTCACCATTACAATTAAGAACATATCAAATGCATTCATGAACCTATGTAAATTAATAGTTATCATAATATAAATAAGTAACTTATTTTTATTGGGGTATCCTTGGTTAAATCTATATAAAGAATTTTGTACATGCACTTAAGTGTGCCACAAAGGCCAATGTAAAAAAAAAAAAAAGCTGTATGCTATGTATTCCAAAAACCTAAAATATTCCTGGTTAACTTAAACCAGCTGCTCCCATAGCACCCAACACCTCACACACTCAACACCCGGTGCTCCCATAGCACCCAATACCTCACACACTCAACACCCGGTGCTCCCATAGCACCCAACACCTCACACACTCAACACCCGGTGCTCCCATAGCACCCAACACCTCACACACTCAACACCCGGTGCTCCCAGAGCACCCAACACCTCACACACTCAACACCCGGTGCTCCCATAGCACCCAACCCTCACACACTCAACACCCGGTGCTCCCATAGCACCCAACACCTCACACACTCAACACCCGGTGCTCCCAGAGCACCCAACACCTCACACACTCAACACACCGGTGCTCCCATAGCACCCAACACCTCACACACTCAACACCCGGTGCTCCCATAGCACCCAACACCTCACACACTCAATGCCCGGTGCTCCCATAGCACCCAACACCTCACACACTCAACACCCAGTGCTCCCATAGCACCCAACACCTCACACACTCAACACCCGGTGCTCCCAGAGCACCCAACACCTCACACACTCAACACCCGGTGCTCCCAGAGCACCCAACACCTCACACACTCAACACCCAGTGCTCCCATACCACCCAACACCTCACACACTCAACACCCGGTGCTGCCATAGCACCCAACACCTCACACACTCAACACCCGGTGCTCCCATAGCACCCAACACCTCACACACTCAACACCTGGTGCTCCCAGAGCACCCAACACCTCACACACTCAACACCCGGTGCTTCCAGAGCACCCAACACCTCACACACTCAACACCTGTTGCTCTCTGTGCACCCAACACCTCACACACTCAACACCTGCTGCTCCCTGAGCACCTAACACTTCACACACTCAATACCTGCTGCTCCCTGAGTACCCAACACCTGCTGTTACCTGAGCAGCCAACACCTCACACTTAAGAACTGAACCTCCCTGAGCAACTAACACCTCCCACACTCAACACCTGAGCACCTAACACCTCACACACTCAACATCTGAGCACCTAACACCTCACACACTCAACACCTGAGCACCTAACACCTCACACACTCAACACCTGAGCACCTAACACCTCACACACTCAACACCTGAGCACCTAACACCTGAGCACCTAACACCTGAGCACCTAACACCTGAGCACCTAACACTTCACACACTCAACACCTGAGCACCTAACACCTCACACACTCAACACCTGAGCACCTAACACCTCACACACTCTACACCTGAGCACCTAACACCTCACATACTCAACACCTGAGCACCTAACACCTCACACACTCAACACCTGAGCACCTAACACCTCACACTCAACACCTGAGCCTCCCTGAGCACCTAACACCTCACACACTCAACACCTGAGCACCTAACACCTCACAAACTGAGCTTCACCCTCAACATAAGACAGACGGAGATATGACCATGTTTGGCGCCTCGCCGCCTTAATACACTATATTTCGTCCCTCATTATCTTCTAGCACATGACTGCTACATTGTAAAGAAGTTAGCTCTCAATCACCTCTGTTGAAGATGAAAAACAGTGCAACAAGTGCTGGCTGGCAAGAGTGAACTTCCTTTGTTGGGGTTATCAGGGCCACTGACGACTTAACCCGTATTGTGCCCGACTTCCCGATTGAGTTTATTTAGGTACGATGGCACGGGAAAGATATAATAATGATAATATCTTTATTTCTCAAGGATTATGTGGATTAAAATAAGGGTTGGATGCGAAAAGTGGGTCATATAAGCGTGTATGTACCTGGAGAAGAGAGGAATGTAGAGGAGAAAGAGAGATTTTGGGAGATGTTAAGTGAATGTATAGGAAAATTTGAACCAAGTGAGAGAGTAATTGTGGTAGGGGGCTTTGTAATTGTGAGTTCATTACCTTTGTAACTTGCTCAGCTATCAAAACTTTCCCCTCCCTAACATGGCCGACGCGGCAGGTTGTGTAGCGGGCTAGCTGCGGGATTTTCAAGGATAGCTCTTGGTCAAAGAGGCTGACCAGGTCCCTACTTAACAGAACTCAGTGTGAATGCTTTGAGAAGATACCAGAGCAGCGAACGGACTTCCCAGTGCATCGTTTCAGCGTAAATAGTTGAAGTGTTGTGCAGAAGGTTTGGTGTTGTTGAGTCAGGACCAGTCAGCGTCTCCCCCCCTCTCCGCTGGGGGGGAGGGGGAGGGCGTGTGTAGTAAACAGTGACCCTCTCATAACGCCTCGCCCCTGCCCGTCTCCCCCGCCTCACCCACCCAACTCCCAGCGCCACCCCATCTATAGAGGGAACTTCTCCCCTAACCCACGATGTCAGCGATGGCACTGCAGGGAGTGCCGGGCTCACAGGAACTTCCACTACAGGGACAGCATCGTGGAGTTCGACCGCGAGGCAGCTGTCAGGTGTGCCACAGGCAGTGTGTACTCAGTCCCTCAAGCTTCAACATCCGTGCACACGAGGGCCTGGGATCTTCAGTCAACTTGGCGTCCACCAGGACGTTGCCATGTCCCTAGGACAGCTCTCCATCGGGCTGCTAACGAAGCCACTGGCTTCTTGGACCTCTTGGGGAGGGTCGATGGTGCTCGTGCAAGCAGCAGATCCCGGGGCAACTTGCTGCTGTTTGCAATGGCTGTCTGCCGAGGAGAGACAGGCACCTAGCAACATCTGTTGTTGGGGCAATGGATGAATTCCCTGCTATGTTTGTTAACTGCTTATTACTCTGTAATTTGTCTATGATTGTAATCATGTGATAACGTGTTTATCATTCATTACCTTTGAAACTTGTCATGATTTTGACCAGCTCTACTTGGAGCTCATTACCTTTGTAAATTCTCATGATTAATGTGTTTATGATTCATTACCTTTGCAATTATTCATGAGTGTGACCAGCTCTACCTGGAGCTCATTACCTTTGTAACTTGGTCATGATTATGACCAGATCTAGTTCATTACCTTTGTAACTTGGTCATGATTATGACCAGATCTAGTTCATTACCTTTGTAACTTGCTCAGCTATCAAAACTTTGGAGTCCAGTCCCTGGACCAATTATGTACCTCTGTAATCTTTTGACTACCGCCCACAGGATGGGTATGGGGTGCATAATAAACATATTAAACTGAACTATCAAAACTTTGGAGTCCAGTCCCTGGACCAATTATGTACCTCTGTAATCTTTTGACTACCGCCCACAGGATGGGTATGGGGTGCATAATAAACATATTAAACTAACTAACCTGAATGCTGAAGTAGGAGAAACTTTTAGAGAGGGTGTGGTAGGCAAGTTTGGGGTGCGAGGTGTAAATGATAATGAGAGCCCTCTGACTGAACTTTGTATAGAAAGGGGTTTAGTTATAGGTAATACATATTTTAAGAAAAAGAGGATAAATAAGTATACAAGATATGATGTAGGGCGTAACAATAATAGTTTGTTGGACTATGTAGTGGTAGATAAAAGACTGTTGAGTAGACTTCAGGAAGTACATGCTTATAGAGGGGCCACAGATATATCAGTTCACTCTTTAGTTGTAGCTACATTGAGAGTAAAAGGTAGATGGGATACAAGGAAAATGGAAGTATCAAGTAAGAGAGAGGTGAAGGTTTATAAACTAAAAGAGGAGGCAGTTAGGGTAAGAGATAAACAACTATTGGAGGATAGATGGGCTAGTGAGAATATAGGCAATGGGGTCGAAGATGTGTGGGGTAGGTTTAAAAATGTAGTGTTAGAGTGTTCAGCAGAAGTTTGTGGTTACAGCAAAGTGGGTGTGGGAGGGAAGAGGAGAGATTGGTAGAATGATAATGTAAAGAGTGTAGTAAGGGAGTGTGGAAAATTACATTTATCTGAATGTAACTCATTATGTACATAACAGTAAATGATAACAAAGATAATTATTATTTATCAAAGTTATATAGACAAGTAGGAATTTGGGAAACCTAGGTCGCAAAAATGTCCCCCTTCGATACCTACAACTGTCATATCCACAAGTTGCTCTAGACCTATTAATTACAAATGAAATATGTATCACCAGGAATTCTGGTAAATATATAAATTTGTGGATTGTATATAAAAATTAATAATTGATTAAATATATACAATTTACATAACAGAAGGAGAATATCTTGATATCACTCACCAATTTGACTGGAGATTAAGGTGTATCATACTCAGAAAACCTCACTGTCTATCTATGAAAATAACACTGGCCAGAGTTAAACATAAACAGACTTATCTGAGGTTCCTGGAGCTGTCTTGTCCAGTCGCCTGATATCTCAAGTTATGCAGGAATGCACATCCAACAATTTCGGCTCCTATTTGAGAGGTGTCAGCCCAATTTTACCTCTAGAGCACGAAAATTCTTCCCCTTATTCACTAACGTTTGTGTCCAATTCAAACATCAATGGCGAGTCCCTCCTGCGCAGGTGCAGTTTCCCATTTTTTATAACAACTTTTATTTTACAGTATGGCCATCTATTTACATATAACTACTGTATTTCTGGAAAATATATACAGTATTTTCCACAGGGAGAAAAAGTTAGCATATGAGAGGTTTTTACAAAGTAGAAGTGATGCAAGGAGGGAAGAGTATATGCAGAAAAAAGAGAGGTTAAGAGAGTGGTGAAGCAATGTAAAAAGAGAGCAAATGAGAGAGTGGGTGAGATGTTATCAACAAATTTTGTTGAAAATAAGAAACAGTTTTGGAGTTAGATTAACAAGCTGAGGAAGCCTAGGGAACAGATGGATTTGTCAGTTAAGAATAGGAGAGGAGAGTTATTAAATGGAGAGTTAGAGGTATCGGGAAGATGGAGGGAATATTTTGAAGAATTGTTAAATGTTGATGAAGATAGGGAAGCTGTGATTTCGTGTATAGGGCAAGGAGAAATAACATCTTGTAGGAGTGAGGAAGAGCCAGTTGTGAGTTTGGGGGAAATTTGTGAGGCAGTGGGTAGAATGAAAGGGGGTAAGGCAGCTGGGATTGATGGGATAAAGATAGAAATGTTAAAAGCAGGTGGGGATATAGTTTTGGAGTGGTTGGTGCTATTATTTAATAATTGTATGGAAGAGGGTAAGTTCAACGATGAGAAATTTCAATTACTCAGATATGGTAAACACGAGGAAATTAAATCTTCATCAGAGTATAAAACAAATTCTGGCCACAAAATAGTGCGAAACACCAACGTCAAAGACCTGGGAGTGATCATGTCGGAGGATCTCACCTTCAAGGACCATAACATTGTATCAATCGCATCTGCTAGAAAAATGACAGGATGGATAATGAGAACCTTCAAAACTAGGGAGGCCAAGCCCATGATGACACTCTTCAGGTCACTTGTTCTATCTAGGCTGGAATATTGCTGCACACTAACAGCACCTTTCAAGGCAGGTGAAATTGCTGTGTGTGTGTGTGTGTGTGTGTGTGTTTGTGTGTGTGTTTGTGTGTGCGTGTGTATGTGTATGAGTGTATATAGTGTGTGTGTGTATGAGTGTGTGTGTGTATGAGTGTGTGTGTGTGTGTGTGTATGAGTGTGTGTGCGTGTGTGTGTTTGAGTTTGTGTATGTGTGTGTGTGTGTGGTGTGTGTGTGTTGTGTGTGTGTGTGTGTGTGTGTGTGTGTGTGGTGTGTGTGTTTATGTGTGTGTGTGTGTGTGTGTATGAATTTGTATATGTGTGTGTGTGTGTGTGTGTGTGTGTGTCTCAACACTCAATATTTGCACCAATAAATCACTACAGTTGTGACCGGGTGTGGAAGTGTGAATTGCTCATTACACTATAATTTGTTCATGATTGTAGCCATGTATAAACGTAAGTAACCATTCTTACAGGATTCGTTACCTTTGTAACTTGTGAGTTCATTACCTTGTACCTAGTTCAGCCATCACAACTTTGGGAGCCCAGTCCCTGGACCCATTACGTACCTCTGTAATCTGTAAATACATTTGTAACTTGCCATGATTGTGACTAGACCTACCTGGAGTTCATTACCTTTGTAAATTGTGAGTTCATTACATTTGTAAATTGTGAATTCATTACCTCTGTAACTTGCTCAGCTATCAAAACTTTGGAGTCCAGTCCCTGGACCAATTATGTACCTCTGTAATCTTTTGACTACCGCCCACGGGATGGGTATGGGGTGCATAATAAACATATTAAACTGACCTAGAATATGTACAGAGAGCCTTCACGGAGCGCACAACAGAGATAAAACACCTCAATTACTGGGAGCGCTTGAGGTTCCTAAACCTGTATTCCCTGGAACGCAGGAGGGAGAGATACATGATTATATACACCTGGAAAATCCTAGAGGGACTAGTACCGAACTTGCACACGAAAATCACTCACTACGAGAGCAAAAGACTTGGCAGACGATGCACCATCCCCCCAATGAAAAGCAGGGGTGTCACTAGCACGTTAACCCTTTGAGGGTTTTCGTCGTACTAGTACGTCTTACGCGTAGGGGTTTTTGACGTACTAGTACTCATAAATTCTAGCGGCCTCAAATCTAGTGGGAGAAAGCTGGTAGGCCTTCATATGAAAGAATGGGTCTATGTGGTCAGTGTGCACAGTCTAAAAAAAATCCTGCAGCACACAGTGCATAATGAGAAAAAAAAAAACTTTGACCATTTTTTTTTAATAAATCAGCGACTT